ACTATGGAAAAAAGTATGGAGGTTCCTCAAAAAATTAAAAATAGAACTACCATAGGATCTAGCAGTCCCACTTCTGGGTATATATCTAAAGGAAATGAAATCAATATCTCAAAGAGAGATCTGCACCTCCATGTTCACTGTAGCATTATTTACAATAGCCAAGACATGGAAACAACCTAAGTGTCCATCAATGAATGAGTGGATAAAGAAAATGCAATATACACACACACCAGAATATTATTCAGCCATCAGAAAGAAGGAAATCCTGCCACTTGTGACAACATAGATGAAACTTGAGGGCATTATGTTAAGTGAAATAAGTCAGATGGAGAAAAACAAATACTAGATGATCTCACTTACACGTGGAATCTAAAAAAAACCCATAGAAACAGAAAACAGATTGGTGGTTGCCAGGGGCAGGGCAGGTGGAAAGTAGGGGAAATGGATGAAGGTGGTCAAAAAGTACAAATTTCCAGTTATAACATGAGTAAGTTCTGAGGATATCATGTACAGTATGGTGACTATAGTTAACAATATTATATTGTATATTTGGAAGTTGCTAAGAGAATAGATTTTAAAAGTTCTTAACACAAAAAAATGGTAACTATGTGAGGTGATGGATGTGTTAACTAACCTTTTTGTGTTAATCATTTTGTACTAATATACCTATATCAAATCATTACCTTGTACACCTTAAACTTACACAATCTTATATGTCAATTATATCTCAATAAATCTGGGGAAAAAAGAAAGCAAAATTTTTTATTATTTACATGAAATGTTCCTTTCTACTTAATTAAATATAATTTTTTTTCAGTTCCTTTACACAGGCCTCTTGAGAATAGCTGTTCCTAACAGTGAGATAGAACTAACTACAAATCAGCAGATGTCACTCCTAACTGATCCTCCTCAACTGTCTTTCTCTGTCAATTCCAGTTGGTTATTTTTTTTCCTGCAAATTTCAACTGCCTTTTCTCATTACCAATTTCATTTTCCATTTTCAATCTCTGATGAGCCTCTAAGAGCCACTAGGACTAATATTTTTCACTTTGCCTGTATAAGGACCATAATACAAGATATGCTTTCTTTTTGAATGCCAGCCCCAATGCAAATATCTGTATGGTTTACAGTAGCCACATGAAACATTCTTTTCCTGTGGCTATGCTTTTGCAGCAGAGATATATCTGTTATTATCATATTTTTTTTCCTGATGAAAGGCACAGTTTTAGTTCATGGAAGAAGCACTGGTTAAAATTTGCTACTCTTTCTTTTTTTTTTTTTTTTTTTTTTAAAGATTTTATTTATTTAATTTTTCCCCCCAAAGCCCCAGTAGATAGTTGTATGTCATAGGTGCACATCCTTCTAGTTGCTGTATGTGGGACTCGGCCTCAGGATGGACGGAGAAGTGGTGCCTCGATGCGCACCCGGGACCCGAACCCGGGCCACCAGCATTGCAGCGCGCGCACTTAACCACCAAGCCACAGGGCCGGCCCATAATTTGCTACTCTTTCAACAACACTGAGCAAATATCAATTGTCTATCATGTACCAATCACTGTTGTGGAAATTCAGCAGTTATAAAACAGATAAGAACTCTTGCCTTCATGGCTCTTTTATTCTTATATAATTACATAATATATATTCTTCTATCTCTTATATTCTAGACAGAACAAAAAATATTTATATAATAGGTTCGATGGTGTGATAGGTGCTTTGGAAAAAAAAAAATAGGATAGAGAGTAGGGAATGCCTAGGGGGTGCTTGCAATTTTAAAAAAGGTTTTCAGAGAAGCTGTCAACGTGAAGTTAGTGACGTCTGAGTAAAGACCTGGTGGAAATGAGGGAGCAAACTGTGTGGATATCTGGGGCGAGAACTTCTCAGGCAGAGGGTACACCCAGTGCAAAGGCGCACGTAGGCTGTCATAAGCAGTAAGGAGTTTTACTGTGAGCATCTGCCAGGGACAAAAACTCAGGCAAGGTTTTTTTGTTGTTGCTATTAAGAATCCACCTATAAGAGAGTTTAATCAGCTTAAGATGAACATCAGTGCAGATCTGTTTAGTGTTCTCTCTCAGCCATGACCTCATTGCTAATACTGACAGCCTGGACTGCCTCTTAAAGTTGGATGAGCCTTGGACGCACAGCCTGGCAAACCTGGATAAAACGAGAAGAGGGAGGTTTTGGTAGCTCTGAAGGCCCTATGGTTCTTTATCTCATTCTCTCCCCACATCGGGCTGCATGTTAATCATGTGTAGCCAATGATTCCAAGTTTTAATTTAACCTAAAATATAGTCCATTCCCATATATGAACCAAGAAGTAAGTACAATGGAATTCTGTCTCAGATTAGCTAATGGTGGATCCTTGTTCCACAGTCAAGACATAGAGCTACTGAGAACAAAGATGTTTCCCATGCCACCAAATTGTGCTTTCAATTTTGTCTTCTTCTAGTCAGGACAACATAGTAATGAGTCATTACTAACATTAAGTCTTATACAGAATTTCCAGAGATTGTTACACTCGTATTCAACAAAGAGAAATACTCTGCACTGGGCCTATCTATCCCATAGATAACGTAGTAGTGTAACAATGCTCTTCTAGCCCAGCGATCCACATCTCCTTCTAAGGGGTTTCCAATTCACTGAGGAGAGCATTTTTCTAAATCTTCTATTATACCCTTGGAGCCCACTCTCATCTTCAGCAAGAATAAAATATTATTAAGAACTCAACAAATGGACGTTTGAAATCAGATACTGCATTTAGTTTATTTTAGCCCACTTTTGATTTGTTTGGAGACTGAATTCCTTACACATGAAATCAGCACTTATTTCATGAGAATAAAGGTTTAAGAGATGACCAAGATTTCTTTAGTAAAGAGAAGGTGATTGAACACCTGAATAGGTCAAGATGACTTATCAGTAACTGAAAATAGTATTTTAAGATCATACTAGTTCTGTGTGTGGGTCATTTAGATTTGCTTTCGATGTCTGATTTAAGTTGGTGACAGTAGATTTGAACAAACTCAGAAAGCTTTTAAAATATGGCTAGGTATGTTGTTTTAAATCCGAATCAAGTATTGATCATTATGACTGTGGCTTAGTATAAATTTAGAATTATTGTAACCTAATGTGTTGAGTTGTTCCATACTTATACTTAGGAGTGGCCAGAGATGACATTTCTATATTGAAACGATGTTGTAGTTAAATCAACAAAATTAGACATTTACCATCTTTTTTTAACTGTACATATTTTAATGTCAGTTTTCTGTTCTTGAAATTCTGAAAGTCATTGGAAAGAAGCCATTTATCAGTCCTTTTCCTCATGAAAGAATGCAATTTCCTAATTAATGATGAATCTTTTAGATGGAAAAAGTAACACAATAGATCAATTATATCAAATTTGAAAGAGTAAAGTTTTTTCTCTATTTATAATTAAAATATGTTATTCTGGAAAGCAAAAAATATATATATATAGTGGGCTGTCCACTTGTAAAATTTCTTTTGAACTATTGGGAACTGATCTCACAGATGAGATTTGTGGACTGTTGTAAATACTCTACCAATCATGTACTCCACAGCTTTAAATTGTGATGTGCTAGAGCAGAGGGCTTACTCACAGACTCAAATAGTCTGTCTGGGTTAGATTCTTAGCTCTCCACTTACTAGCTGAGTAATCTCAGGCAAGACATTTAGCTTTTTTGTGCCTCAGATGAGAACACAGAGGGGCTAACAACAGTATCTACCTTGTGGATTATAGAAGGACTGAATGAGTTAACACATAAAACATTCTTAGAACAGTGGCTGGCGCATGGTGAAAGTTCAATAAATGTTAGCTGTTATTCTAGTGTGTGATAAAGTGAGGAACTATCAGTAGTCTTAATGGGATGAAGTACTGAATGCAATTCTTGTATTTTTATTGGGTTTCATCCACTTTTTACAGAACCTAGTATGCTTTCTGGTCTGAGGGCACAAGAAAGCAGAGACAGATGGCTTCTCTAAGTGAAACTGACCTCTGCATATAATGCCTGAAATCAGAGGAAGCTTGTCAATGTGGGCAAACACCAAGAGTAGATCTGACATCCCAATTCTCTTTTTTTATCTCATGGAAATGAAGGGTATCTAACGTAGACCCTTAAATTAATTGTTCCTGCTTAAGATTTAAAACCTTGGTTTACTGTGGGGTAAACCTAGGTTTTGGATAGTCATACAAAATCTTTCTCTCTCTTCAGTTTCACTGCAGAATAAAAACTAAATTTACCACAGTGGATTGTTACATTAAGTCTGGTATTTATTTCTCCCAAGAGGCCATCTGCTTCTGGGGAAAGGCAACAGGATGCCCTCCATTAATATATCTAACTGATGCTGTAATGATGTACAATTCTCCGTCGACCCCTGAAATCAGAGTTATTGTCTTGGAACATAAGATTTGAATATTTCTTTTCATCATATAACTACAAATGTTAGGATAGGCTTAAAAGTATCTGCCCATTGTTCAATCCGCCTTCCATTGCTTCTGATGACCTGAAGTTCTTTTGATCAGTTTACTAGCCACGAAAACTCAGATTACTAAAATTAAAGGGAAAAGGATGGATTCCTCTGGTTCCAACTATAAAACATCCCACCAGAACAGGTGTACTTGCAAAGTAGTTTGCATTAAGTGTCCTCTGTCTCAACTTGTACAATCGCCTCCGGAGGGTGGAGTCCTCGCAACCTGCTTACCAGGGTGTGCGCGTGTCTGTGGGTGTTAGGGCACGCGCAGGACACACATGGACCCACTTTCCTAGGGCAGCCCAATCAGAGTCTCGCTCTCACCTCAAAGGCTGTCAACTCTCACGCCCCTCCCTGCGCGCACAGCCCCCTCCTCCCTCTTCTACCCCTCTCGCCCCGCCTCCAAAGTAGAACGCACCACTTTCATTGGTAGATGCTCCCCTCACTCCTATTCCGGAACCAATCAGTCGAGCGCTGGTGTAGAGCGGCGGAGCCAATGAGAATGCTCGTTTGCGGCAGCTGCCGGGTCCCGAGAGCCGGGAGGTGGTGCCGGGGGCGGGGTGCGGATGGGGGGATTAGTTGCCGTTTGGAGTGAGGACCGGGCAGAGGCGGTGGCGGCGGCGTTTGCGGTGGCGAGGGCTCCGCGGAGAACTAGACGCCTCGAGGCCCTTTCTCCCTACCCTGGTCCACAGAAGCAGGGCTCCCGGCCCTCTCTGCAGCTGCCCGGCTCTGCCGAGCGTGCAGCCCATGAGGCTGCGAGCGGCCTCCGGGGCTGCTTGATTCGGCCGGCTACTCCGCTCCCCTGTGAGCGCGATGCCCGGGGCGGCGGGGGCGGCGGCGGCGGCTCTGGGCTCCTCGCAGCCCCGGCCGTGACCACCACCCCGAGCCCGGCCGGGCGGTTGGGGCCGTTGGACGCGCAGCCTTCCCCTCCCCCTTCGCCGAGGCAGCGGGGGTGCGCGTTGGGAAGGGGGAGCCGAGAGACTCCTCCCCCTCCCCGATACCCCCGCCCCTCCCCCTTACACACTCGCACGCACTATCGCGCCGGCTCCCACACGCTCGCGCGCCTCCCGCTCCGCGCCTCCGTGTCGGCCGGCGTCGTCCAGGGCCCGCGGAGCCACCATGTCCACTGCCTCCTCCTCCTCCAGTTCCTCTCAGACCCCTCATCCCCCGCCGCAGAGGATGCGGCGCAGCGCCGC